TTCCCTTTTCTAATTTCCCCGTTTCGACGTCGTTCCGCTCGTTTGTCGCGGAACACTGTTCGCGACGCGATAAATCTTCCGCGGCGTTTCAATGGAGGCCGAAACAGTCCCGCCGTTCGAATGCCGGAAGATTTACGAAAGCCTGAACGGGGCCGCGTTTAAAAGGGTCCGCGACGTCTGATCCGGCGCGAATCGGGAACGGCGCGGCGCCCGTAGATCCAGATTTTCGGATCGACGGAAGGGTGCGCGGGGGCGGACACGAAAGCGGACGGACGATACGTTACGGCGGCGTAACGCGCCGTGAAGGGGTATAAGCGGCGTCACAATGAAATTGAAAGCTATCCGTTTCAAAGCGCATCGCGTCGTTACGATATCGTGTACAATGATTCGCGCGGCGCACAATGGTCCGTACTGAAGGATCAGACGGAGCACTGTTCCGCGACGTTGAAACAGCCGTGCCGTTTTGTATTCCCGGCGAAGGAGTTCCCCGTAACGAATCGAGGAGGCTTCGAGAACGTATGGCGTTGCTTGCCTACGCCCCGTTGCCTCGTTCCTTCGAACTTAGGGTATGTTTACAGCTGAGCTGCGATACTCGATCAGAGCGGAGCGTGCAAGCACGTGCTTTTGTTTTATAATGGAAGCGTTTGCGTTGGAGCGACGCGTACAGCTACCGCTCGTGATCCATCAACGATACAAGTAGTACAGTGCTCTACTTTCGTTTTGCGATATATCACTTCACGAAGCTTGGAAATAATGGTTGGATTGCTGGTTCTTAGGGAAATTCAAGTCTCCGCGAACGTAATTGGCGAAATAGAATGACGATTGGAAACGGTTTTTCTTAATAAATACCGTGGAAAGCACTGTACTTTGAATGTATTATACATGTTTTCGTATCGTGTTGCGTTTTGTGAAACTTGGCACTCTCAATGCTCCTGCGGATAGGAATCCGCAGTACGACGATGATATTTCTTTAGCTTTAGCATCGAGGAATGATACTTTATCGCGACTCTGTTCGAAGCGCAGCCCTCCCAGCTCCTATCGTTATAAACGTACCCTTACGAGCTGAACGCTTGGCGTGCGGCCACTCGAAAGAACGCTCGATCTAAGAAACGTAATCCGAGAAACGATTCCAGGCGGGACGTAAAAATCTCCCGAGCACGAGGGAGCGGCGGCCATTTCGCGCCGCTCTCGCGAACACCGCCGACTAATGAAGTATTAATTGTCCTCGGAAGATGTACGGTCCCGGTAAACGACTTTCGTGATAACGAGCACCTGGTAGCTATTCAGACGGCCTACGAACTCGTTCGCGTGGGTCGACCATCCGTGGATTTTCGAATCGGTTGGATACGACCTTCGGCTGCAGCAGCTGTGTAAGATCAAGCGGAGCACCGGCGCGTTTATTATGCGCTCGCACGACACTTCAAATTGCATTAAACGCGTCGCGTGATATTACTTCTCCCGTTTATCCTGGATACCTGTCGTTGAACGCCCGAGTAGACGTAAACGCGGGAATTGTCTCGAATATACGTTCATTATTCGGAAAGTACAAGGATTCACGAAGCAAAGAGATCCAATTGGAATTAC